GGGGCGCAGCTTTTCGGGGCGGCCCGCCCGTCCAGGCTCTGGATCTCCGGTCCGGCTTCATTTGGGTCTTCAGGGCCGACCTCGCACCACCTCTCCGGTCCGGTTTTATTCGGCTCCTCCGTTCGGGCGGCATCGTTGGGTTTGAGAAGAAACGCAGGCGCTCACGTGGAGCCTCACTACGCATGCGCCTGGGTGCCTAGCTCCCGCAGCTTTTCGGGGCGGCCCGCCCGTCCAGGCTCTGGATCTCCGGTCCGGCTTCATTTGGGTCTTCAGGGCCGACCTCGCACCACCTCTCCGGTCCGGTTTTATTCGGCTCCTCCGTTCGGGCGGCATCGTTGGGTTTGAGAAGAAACGCAGGCGCTCACGTGGAGCCTCACTACGCATGCGCCTGGGTGCCTAGCTCCCAGCCGCCGCCGAAGTCTCCAGGGGCCGGAAGGAGTCTGCGCAGCTTCTGGCCACGTGACCAATACTCGCGCTCTACGTCACTCCCACTCCCCCCCCCGCAGGCCCCTCCCCGTGTGGGAGTTCCTCTGGGAGAGTCGATCTTCCGGGTGTAGGGGGCAGCGGCGTGACTGGAGTGGAAAATTTTCCCAGCACAACTTCGCAGCCGAGGCACATCCAAAGGGAGCACGAGAGCGTCAGAGTACAAACGGGGTTGACTGAAGGGCAACTTGTACTCTTCCTTCCGACTTTTTACCCACTCGGCTCACCCCGAGCCCCAGTTACTTTTTTCCTCCCTTCGTCTTGGTACGGTCCGTAGCGTACGGAGCCTGCAGAGGGTCCCACGCTGGAAGAGAGAGAGAGAGGAGGGTATGTAGGGAAGTGGGCCAATCGGGGCGCGGGTCACGGCGCAGGCGCGCTGGGGAGGGAGGGCTATGCTAATGTTGTTGATATCCTGGGGCCACCCGAGTTAAAGGGGGGAAATCCGGGGGCTGCCGCAGCTGCCACCGGTCTGAGCCCAGCCGGGGGCCCCTATAATCGCCGCAGTCCCGGGGAGAGGCGCCTGCCCCCCGCTCGGGGAGGGGGCGCCGCGGGCTCGGGGAGCACGGACAGCCCCTACCCATGAGGCCCTGATGGAAAACACAAAGGATCTGGTGAGACCCGAGCGCGGCAGCCGCTTTGTGTGCCAGGCGGTGTGGGGGGGACTCCTGCAGCTCCCTGACCCCGCTCCCGGGCCTGTTTCTCCATCCCCCGCCCCCTCCACCTCCGGAACCCCCTCCCCCTGCCAGCCGTTAAACGACTCAGGGGTTCCCCTCCCCCCACCCATCAGCCCCGAAGTCGTTAGGGTCTCTCGCCACCCCCCTTCCACTCAGGGAGGGGAGGGAAAAAACCGAAGCAGAAAGTTTTTCTCGGTGTCCCCCCCGCCCCCGCTCGGGCTGAGGGAAAGGCTGGATCCCAGACTTTTCCTTTTTTTAGCCGCCCCGGGTGGGAAAGTGGACTCACTTCCCTGGGGTTGGGCTGGGGAGCAGAGAGTCGGGGTGCTCCGCCGGGCGAGCCGCCAGTCTGTTTGGGGGCCAGTGCCGCGAGGCGTTTTGCACGTGGAAGTGGAAATATTGAAAGGGGGCGGGGTGGGTACGTGTGGGAGGGAGAGGTGGGAGTGGTGTTTGGGAAGCAGCCTTTTCGGCGCTGCTTGGAAAGGGCTTCGACGACCCCTGCCTTCTCTGTTGTGAAATAAAAATCCTAACGTTTCAGAGTCGGAAGAAACATTAGAGGTCACCCGCCCCAAGCAGCCGTCCCCTCTGCAGCCTCTGACGAGTGGTAGGTAGTCTGGCCTCCTTAAAACCCCTCGGAACAGTGATCGCTCCCTACTGCCCAGGAAAGCCCCTCCGCTTTTTCAGTAGTTTTGGTTGTTGCTTGCCTGCCCTTATTAGACCCGCAGTCTCATTCACGTCCTGGTTAGTTGCTCCTTTTTTTACTTCTCAAATTTTTCTCTCACATCCTCCTCACCCACCCACTGCTCATTGGCCTATATTTTGTGTGCCAGGAAAGAGCGGCAGGGAAGTGGAGGGAGGGGTGGGGTTTGAAAGATCTTGAAGGCCTGAAGAAAACTTCGCGGGTCGATTTCACAGGTGCCGGCGACCCATCTAAAGATGCTGGGACCTCCTACAGGAAGCTAGGGAATTGGGAACAGGATTTCGTGGCCGTTTTTTATTAGTGCACCTCCTTGCAATTAGACATTTCTGCAGCATCCCTGTAGTTCTGTCACCAAAGCACGTTTGCTTGTTGCCTAAATCACTGTCCCCAAGGACGCTCAAAATTGTCCCTCCCCTGGGATTGCACTGAAGCTGTTAGAAGCCTCACCTGGTACAGGGATGTTCAGAACGACTCATCCTTCTGACCTGGTGCCCCTGGAAGATTCGTCTTCCCTTCAAGGGCCCTTCTCCGTTAAAGCTTTTCTTTTTTTTTTTAAGTCTTTTGAGAGGTGAAATTTACGCAACACTTTAATAACTGCATAACGTTTGCAATATTTTTAATGCTTCCCATCTTAATATGCACCAGTATTTATTGCTTGGTAGTTCAGTTTCAAATTCGTACGTTTACTCAGTGTTTTTCTAATGTGTCCTCCGGTTAGTGAGCTGTGCTGCCCGCCATAGTTTGCTTGGCATAAGAATCTTGGGGGCATATAGTTTCCTCTTCCTAATATGGTGAAGTGGGAGTACAGACATAACGTAGAAGTAATGCAGCTGGTCCGAAAGCCAGTGAATAAATTTTACCTTAAAACTCTCAAACTCCTGTTTAAATTGTTGGACCACAGACATTTTTTTCTCCTCCCTTCTATGACTTAGAGACTGTTGCTTTGCTCCTGAGTGCTTAGACTGTTATTTCTCATTTGTTTACCTCAACACCAGAGAGTATTTAGAAAGAAAATAGCTGTCTTTTTCTGTACCATGTCTTCTGAATAACAAGCAGCTTCTATTTATATAGAACCCCATATTCCAGGCTTGTGGATACCTTGCAAATTATGGCAAAAATCTGTCCTGAATAAGTATCTGTTCATCGTGTCCTATATTGGAGTGTGTTTCTATTTATGTAAACTTTGACATGTAATATTTTCCCTAAATCTAGTAGTCACTAGAATTTAACATGGAATTGAATACTAGATTGTGAAAGAATTAAGTTACATAATTGTCTTTAAAGGGTTAATTATATTTGAGCTCCAAGTTGTTTTCCTGCTTGCTTTAAGCATGAATTGTCATGACATAAGTTTTACTGACTTTGGAAATATTTGAATCATAAACATACTAGACAGGAACAACTGGTTTTATTATTAAAGAAGGCACTTATCTATTTTTTTTATGGCTGGTAATAAGTTGACCTTATTACCTAATTCTTCCTAGATATTTGGATGCTGCCTCTGGTGTCTTCATTATTCTGGAAATTAAAATGAGTCCATTTTAAATTGTTTTAAAACATAACATAGTAGTCAAACAGAGGTAAAAATCATAGTTTATTGGTGAAAACAACATACTAAAGTCATAAATATTAAACTACTGAAAGCCAGGAGCACTCAGTGATCTGAGTGGCCACATTCAACAATTAGAAGAGTCACTATTTTGGGGGTTGATCCTTATTTCTCACTTCTTCATCTTTAAATGTTTGTTAGATAAGATTTTTAACCTGTCACACTTGTTCAGAATAAGACAGCATATGTCATAAGTCTCAAAATTTCAAACCTGAGAGAAAGAAAATTAAAAGGACAGTAGAAGACAAGGAACTTAACACAAGGATATTCTTTTTTTGTTGTTTGGTACCAGGGATTGAACTCGGGAACGTGAGCTTGTGAGACAGGCGGCGGCACTGCTGAGCTAAATCCCTGGCCTAACACAAGGATATTCTTAACTGTCCAAGACAATGTTGGACTTTATATAAAAATTAGATTTTTTTTTTAATAAGTACTTTTTTTAAAGGATTTTCCCCCCTTGTAAGTTTAGAATTTCTTTTCTTGGTTTGCTAGGATCTTCAAGGAAAGGTGAAAAGGCAATAACTGCATGTGAACAGGGCCTGCGTGTGGGGTAGACTTCAGTAACACAATGACAGTGGCATTGGCAGACATGGTTGGGAGGGCGCTTCTGCCACTACTACACCATAGCACTGCGAGACAGGATCCTGTCCCTTGGTTTTCTCATCATAATTGAAGGGTTGATCTCAAATTTTAATCAGTGTTGTCCAATATAATACCTGCAGTGGTAGAAATATTCTGTATTTGTGCTATCCACTGTGGTAGCTCCCAGCTACACATAGCTGTTGAACACTTTAAACTATAGATAATGGACTAAAAAAGTAAATTTTCTTATTGTTTTAAATCAGTGTTAATTTAAATAGCCACATGTCAGCCGGGCGTGGTGGCTCACGCCTGTAATCCCAGAATTTGGGAGGCTGAGGGAGGAGGATCGCTGTGAGTTTGAGACCAGCCTGGGCTACATAGTGAGTTCCAGGTCAGTCTAAACTACATAGTGAGACCCTGTCTCAAAAAAATTTTTTTTAAATAAATAGCCCCATGTCTGTCAAATGGACATACAGGTATAGAACAGTGTTTTCCAAAAGCCTATCACTGGGCCCACCTCTTGGGGCTCCTGGGAAAAGAATGCACCCCTCTCCTGGAGTTGGTCATTCACTTGTAAAGTCTGGGAGTCTCTTTAATGTGTGCTCCAGAAAATCTTTATCAAGTTGAGGAAATTTCTAAGCTCCCTTCTAGTTCTCTCACTGGTATCTGTAAGTTAAAATTCAGTGTGGTAGAAGTGAGCATTGGAAAAGTTGGCAAACTAGTTAGACTCTGGCTCTGCCGCTTCCTGACCTATGATCTGAGATGAGTTGACTAATCCCTCAGCTTCGTTTTCCTCACCCGAAATACAGGGTGAGAACCAGCCCTCCCTTCTCCTGAGGTGTCTGTCTGTAAACCTGCACTCAGATGGAAGCTGTTGAATAAATGATAATTACAATGTTAAGATGTTTTTCCAGAATCCCTTTTTCTCATTTTTCACTGTAACATCTAATTCCTACTCCTAATAAAACTGGTCTTAAGTTGTACTGACTATTCAATTATTATGGCCCAGTTATTTGGCCACAGTTTTGCAGTCAAGTTGCACAGGAAGCCTATTAAGTCTAATAACTATCTGTGTTTCTACTGCTTAGTGTAATGATTTGTATAAATTGCTCAGTAAATATTGGTTAAATCTCTCATTTGGGAGTTGCAGATTATTTTGTGTACCAGAGAAATATCCATCCCCTGTGTATATTTTTGCAATGGAATTGTAAGCATATATGTACTGTAAGTGATCGCAGGACAGATTCTACAACCAGAATCATGTAAAGAATTAAATTCATGAATCAGGCACCACTCTATGTGTTCAACTCCATTTTAATCAATATTCCAATTATTATTATTATTATTACATGAATATGTATTGTTAGAGCGTCCAGCTCCAAATATAAACATGTTGCAGGGGGGTTTTTTTGTTTGTTGCCAGCACTGGAGATAGAACTCAGAGACTTGCCCATGGTAGGCAAGCACTTTAAAACTAAGCTATATCCCCACTGTGTTCATCTTTTTTAAAATACTTGGAGGACCCTAGGGTTGTAGCTCACTCGTAGTGCATTTGTATGTGAGGCCCTGACCCCAGCAGTGAAAAAAGAATGGCAAGAGCATGCCATCACTTTATACCATGGTATTTAAAGACGTGTCAAGGCAGCACGACGCAACAGTCCACTCACATTCTCTATGTTAACATTAATAAGTGGTCATGTTTGATTTTTTAAACTGTAATTGTACGACAGACCCAGCTTGAGTATGATTTCTGTAATTTGGGTTTGAAAATTGACTTGGGCTGAGAGTTTACCTCAATAATAGAGCATGTGCTTAGCTTACGCAAGGCCCTGGGTTCAGTCTCCAGCACCAAAAAAAAAAGAGGAGTAAAAGGTGATTATTATCAACTTCGTTTGTTTAAACTAGCCCCAGTAATTGTGATCTTAAAGACTCTAGGCCACTGCGTGTTTCATAATTTTGACATGGTCATCTTATTTTTAATTAGCTCTTCAGGTTCATACTTAAGGAGTCCTAACTTTCTTCTGAAGAACTGAAAATCCATTCATGTGAAATATTTTATTTTATCATACATCCTTCCTGTGTGGTAAGTGGTATTTTCTTTATTTAGACGAAAAGGATACTGAGACCCAAGTAGTTGTTGATCCAGAGTCATAACAGAGGTGGAAGCAGAAGTTAATCCCAAAGATGTAGAAATTTGGATTCATCACTAGCCCAGCTGTGCTTTTCATCCTGGTAGTAGGGTGAGAAGCCAGCAAGAGCTGAATAGCTCCCTACCTCCTTATCCCAGGCATCGTCATAGAGAATCTGTTCTTATTTTGCACTTTTTGATCACATACATGTACACAACATTTGGATACATGGTTTAAGGAGAAACAGTAGTTTGCAGCATCTGGTTCTGTCCTGCCTAGGACCTGAATCACTTGTCCAACTTGCCCACACTGCGTACCCATTGTGCCTTACCAGCCCTCAGTGTTGGCAGATTGACTGTCGAGGCATCGCAGTGCTTGTATTCAAACACCCTTATATGGCAGGCATAAGACTGCATCAGTCACCTCACTTCGTCTCAACAGAGAGGCCTTGTAGCATCACAGAAAAATGAGTACAGTAGGGTGAGAGTCTCTGACACTTTTTTTAAGGTGTATTAATCCCTACTGTTTTTCATAGGTATGTATGAACAGAAAAAAAGAGCTTTCTGTATGTCCTTGGTTTCAGGCATCCACAGGGAGAATTGAAACATTTCCCTTACAAAAAAGCAAGACCATTAAGTGTGTTCACAGAAAACCGTGCATAAGAATGTTCATGGTAGTTAAAAATGAATGGAGTAAGAATTAGGTGGTACGTTGAAGTGGAGTACTCAGCAGTAAAAGGCTGTGAACTGTTCATACATGCAATGATATCATGACTGAATCTAAAATACAGTATACAAAGTGAGAGAAATCACACAAAAATGTTCATGTGTCTTTATCCATACGTGTGTGTGTGTGTGTGTGTGTGTTGTGTGTGATCTTAAAGATGACTTGAACATCTCTAATGTGAAAATCCAAGATTGGAAATGCTCCACCATTCAAAATTCTTTGGTCACAAACCTGAGGCTGCAAGTGGAAAATTGCACACCTGATGCCATGTGATGAGCCAGTACAAATACAAGTGCACTAAAAATACTGTAAAGTGACTTTCATGAATAAGGTGTATGTGAAACCTAAATGTTTTGTTCTTAGTCTTGGGTCCAATCCCCAAGAAATGTCAAAAGATACATATGTTATATGTATGTGTGCCAATATTCCAAAATCTGAAATGCTGTCCCACGCTTTACAGATGAGGCATACTCAACTGTATCGTAGGATCCAACAGCTGCAATTTGGGAGATATATTCAGAACTGAGGCTTAACCTTCTGGTGCAGAGCGTAGGAGATGAGGGAAACGCACCCTGGACACAAAAACTGGTGGGACTTTGGGAGACAGGGAAGAGGTGAGCAGGATGGAGCTTTTTAGTAGAGAAGTCCTGTCTCTTGATAAACACTGAAGAGTGTGTCTCAGTTTTTAGCAGCTTAACTGGGGTACAAGGGAAATGCAGGCAGATTGCGGAGCTCCTGAGAGGAATGACAAAATCTAGGGACAGGGATTTAGCTTAGTGGCACTGCATCTGCTTTGCAAACACAAGGTCCTGAGTTTGATCCCCAGTACCAGAAAAGAAAGAAAGAAAATCTACATCACACTGTATGTAATACATTTAAAGCAGTGAGAAGAGGAAAATTCATAGCCCTGAGCAACTGTTACCAGTGAAAATAAACTTACTTCTTAACACTTGATCTTAGCCAAAAGGCCAAGAAGCAATGAAAATGAATTAGCTCAGAAGTGAAAGTAAAGGCAAAAATAAATATAGATAAGGGAATAAAGGTACAAGTAGATCTGGGCATGATGGTACACACCTGTAATCCCAGCACTCAGGAGGCTGAGGCAGGAGGATTGCTGTGTTCAAGGCAAGCCTGAAGTACAGAGTTGAGATCCTGTATAAAAAACTTTAAAAGGTAAAAGTTGAAATTAATGGCAAAAGCTATGATTGATGAATCAATCCTGGATATTTGGGGAAAAATTCATGAGATGAATTTTTTTTAAAAAGCCACAATTTTAATTTTAGGGTATAGGAGAAGAAATGAAATGACTTTCGTATACCACTATTACAATGCCATTTAATTTATAGTTGATGGCATTTAAAATACAGTCTTGCCGTAGATTTGGCTCTGGTTCTGCCACGTGCCTTGCAAGCGCAAGGGCCTGAGTTTGAGTCCCAGTACCAAAAATAAAACAAAATACAGTCTTGTGTAGCTATAAAATTTTTTTGGTTTTTTGAGACAGAGTCAGTGTGGTTCACACTGGCCTTGAATTCATGGTAATCTCATGCCTCAGCCTCCCAAGTGCTGGGAGTACAAACATGTGCCACTGCACTCAGCTAAAATTTCTCATTTCGTCTTTAAAAATTAATAAAAATTGGAAAAATGAACAAGCAAAACTGTCAAAGCATTAAAAGATCTTTGAGGTGAATCTAAGCAGATATCAAAATACCCTAGACAAGCTGGGCATGGTGGCACATGCCTATAATCCCAGCACTCGGGAGGCTGAGGTAGAAGGATTGCTATGAGTTCAAGACCAGCCTGGGATACATAGTTCCAGGTCAGTCTCAACTACATAGTGAGAGCCTGTCCCCCCGCAAAAAAAACAATATGAAAACAAAATATCCTAGACGGCTCTGTAACTAGAAAAAAAAAAATTGACACATGCCTGGACAAACCAATAAAATTCAGTGATGCACCTCATAGCAAGGTGAGGCTTTTTATTTAGATTTGCTTTGGTTCTTTGCTTGTGAAGAGCTAGGAGTTGAACCCAGAGCCTCAACACCAGCTGGGCATCCCACTCTACCACTGAGCTGCACCCCACCCGAGTGGCGGTGTTTCAGTCAAGGGCAGACCACATGCACAGCAGTGGTCCCAGGTGCTGGGAATTTCATGCTGTCTGCTGACGTCGTCGTAGCCTTCACAGCGTGGTAGCGCAACATAACTGCATACCTAGCACCTGACAGTACGTGACTGTGATTGCCTGAAATGTTCACTTTTTAGCTGGGGGTGTAGCTCGGCAGTACAGGGCTTGCCCAGCACGTGTGTGAGGCCCTGAGTTTAATCCCCAGTACAGTGTGCTTGTTTTTTGTCGTCGTTTTAGTGTATATGCCCTGGCAGTTTACTGCAGCAGCAGCCCCACACTCTGTTCCCTGTGTCTCTCCATCACACTCTGTTCTCATGTACTTGATTTAGTCTCATGTTGTTTTGCTCATCCTGGCCTCCACCATCCACTGCTAAGGGAGTGAGCGACCTGGAAGTTAAAGCTGACCCAAGACTCCAAAGGTGGAAAATTAGTGATGATTACCGCTCACCAGTCGAGCATGTCCCATTCCACCCCAGCCAGAGCTTGAAGAAGGGGAACAAAGCTGTTACAGGATGCGCTTCATCGACAGCGGCCAGGCTGAACCTTTAGAAGGGCCTGTGGCAGATGTGGAGAAACTTACAGTGACCCAGATGGACGCCCAGCCCCCCGAAGCAGAGCCCCTCTCCACATGCCACTCTCACGGCCACAAACCGAGCTCGTGCTGTTGAAAGAAAACACTTGCTCTGGCCACACTGTTGAATTTACTGCTACCTCTGAGTGGTTTAAACAATTGAAGAATGATTATGCATTGCATAACATGACAGTAGTGAGTCTAAGTGCTGGTGTGAAGGCAGCTGAAGAACTTTTGGAAACTGCATACACTGTGGAGAAAAATTACTTCCCAAAGGGAATCTGACAGAACAGCGGGCCGTACCATGTAGCCTGGGTGTGCGGTGAGCTAAGCCATCCGGGCTAGTGTAAGTACGCTGTGATGTTTAACCTGTGACAAGACCGTCTCAGTGTGGCATTGCTCAGGGTGTCTGTCACTGAGCCATGAGTGTGCATAGAGTTCATACTTAAACTAGTATTCCAAGTCAGCGGTTAAGACAAAAATTTTAATAAAGGATAGTGCAACAATTAGGTAGCCCACTGGGGGAAAAAGTAACTGTTCCATCCATTCTTCATGCCACTCGTAGGAAAATATTCCAAGTGGGTCAGAAATAATAATAAAACCAATGGGGCCCGGGGATTAGCTCAGTGGTTTCACCTGCCTCGCAAGCACAAGGACCCAAGTTCCATCCCCAGTACCAAAAAAAAAAAAAGCAACAACAAAAAGAAATAATAAAACCAAACTCCCATGTACCAGAAGAAAATGTGGGTGAGTTTTTCTCTACCTTGATTGAGGGGAAATTTTTGTGACTCAATGGTTAAGATACAATAGAAGAAAATACTGGTAGCTTATGAACAAGTTAGTGGTAAAATATGCTTAGAATATACAAGGCCCTGGGTTAGGTCCCCAGCACCAAAACAGAAAATAACTTCTGTTGCATAAAAAATTTTAATTGGAGATGGGGATTTAGCTCACTGGTTCCGCTGCCTGCATCACAAGCACAAGGTCCTGAGTTCGATCCCCAGTACCAAAAAAAGAAAATTTCAGTTGCAACCCCAAAACTTTAATGATCAAAATTTACCAATTCTACATGAGGGAGAAATTTAGGATAAATTTCTAAATAGAGGTGGGTGGGAGGTGGAATATAAACTAAAAACCCTAAAGAAAAGGGTCAGGGATAATAATTACCTGAAAACTGCATTCCGTTGCACATCCAGATCTTGGGCTTTTTGGGGGGGCGGGAGGGTACCAGGGATTGAACTCAGGACCTCCGACCTTGTGCTTACAAGGCAGGCGGCGGAACCACTGGGCTAAATCCCCTGCCCAGATCTTGGGTTTTTAAAACCAGCTCCCAACTAAAAGACTAGAGTGCCTTGGGAAAATTAATCTCAGGGCTATAGCAGTATAAAATGAGCCTGAAATATATTAGTGTGCCGGAATGTCAGGTGGTATCCCAGAGTGAATGGGAACCGGTGAAAAGGACAGGAGAATCAGTCTAAGGGAAATGGCCATATGGGATAACTTGACCCTCAAAATCATTGAAGGACAATGAGGAA